AACTAAAAATATAATTCGAGGGCTTGGTGCAAAACAGTTGTATCTCCTTCTTTATCTAGTTTAAGTTACAACCGTTTCGCAATAAGCCCTCAAAATGGATTAAACAACTAGACTTTTTCTAGCCCTAGTATAAAGCGCCCGTGTAGGGCAAGGTCATGCACCAAAACTACGCGTTTTTGTTCTTATTCCACCAGTCCTACTTTACTCTAGCAAATTTAAGATTGACATAGCACAGCTTTGGATACGAGACACCAGCACACGGAAAGTGGTTCTTTTTATTATATTTTCCTGTAGACATGATGGATGACAACAATATCATTCTCAGCAAAGCTTCTTCTTAAGCTCACGCGAATTAAAAACTACAATAAGAGCGTCATGGGCAGCACACTCGACTATTTTTAGTTCTTGGTAGTAAAATGAAAACCATCTTAGTCGACAAGGCAGTCAGTTTTAACAAAATGCTTGACAGAGTTATCTACCCATGTCTAAGGGTTCGGATCATGGTGGTTAACAAGTCTGCAAAATTTCAAAGCGATATCTTAAGGGTCTTGGAACATAATAGATGTGGTATGAAAAATTGGACAGAACATTAAACTAACGCCGACGCCCGGATGAGGTGAAAGCTCTCCTTATAATATTCTTCGAATAGTCGAGCTATAAATTACAGGATATAAAATCAATGACGATAAACGCAATTGTGTTCTAAAAGCACAACATGACAATATCTTTTTAAAAATGTTAGTATTTATTATAATATTGATTTAAAAAAAGAACTTTTATTAACAATAAACAATTAAAGTAGAAAAAAAGCAGTATTTATTATAATATTGATTTCAAAAAGATCTTTTATTTAGCAATAAAGAATTGAAGTAGAAAAAAACAGTGTTCCATTTCTTGGAGCAGCGAACTAGTAGTTGGGGGCTGTTTTTTCTTCTTTGCCTTTCTATTTTTAATGTTGTCTATGACTTCCTTTATACGTTGTTTCCTTTGTATGTCCTGTAAATTACAAAAAGATAAAATTTCGAAAGGTGCTTCATTTTGTGCTTCATTTTATCAACATTGTTTAGCTGGTGTTTTTATCACTGTTGCACAAGAGATAGTATTTGTGATTTTGTGTACTTCATTCAAACATTCTCAGTTAATTGAAGTTTCAGAATTACAATTTTCTAATACTAACCATTAACGACACAAAGTATACTGTCATGAGATAATCAGATTACACATGGTTTAGTTGTTTTAATAAAACACACAGACACTTGTGGTTTGGAGCTCAAAACGCCTTTAAAATCCAAATAAAATACATATTTGTCAATCCCAGCACATGTACTGATCATTAAGTTTTTTGATATATATGATCAGTACATGGTCTGGGATTGACAAATATGCATTTTATTTGGATTTTAAAGGCGATTTGAGCTCCAAACCCAAAGTGTCTGTGATAAAACATAGCAAATATATTCCGTTACTTATCTTTATTACAAATGGCATATTCTTATTTAAGGCAGGTAATTATGGGAGAACAGGACACATATCGGTAAATGAAACAAAAACAAGTCGATGACCTAAAAGAATTGAAGATGGGAAGGTTACGGACACTACAAACCAACATATTGTTTTATTTGGCCTAAGTACAATTAAAAACTGAATCACTTTAGTTTAGAAAGACTAACTTTATCAAAGCTAATTCTTCTTTCAAGTAAGCTTAAATTCAATGAATCTATAAAGCGAAAAGCACAGTATTACGGAATACCGTTAGGGCCATCGTAGTTGTACGTTATATTCCAGAGGGCGACAAAGTGATAGTGCGACAACACTATGGCGATAGTACGATGACGACAACGCGATAACACGAGGACGACAATGCTATAGACTATCACATTATTGTCATCGTACTATCGCATTGTCGCCATCGCATTATCGCACTGTCGCATTGTCGTACTGTCTTCATCGCATTGTCGTCATTGCATTGTCGCGTTGCACATCACACTATCGTCACTGTACTCTCGTACTATCGCCATCGCGTTGTCGCACTATCACATTGTCGCCCTCTGGATTATAACGTTCAACCACGATGGCCCTAACGGTATTCTGTACAGTATTACTGATAGCAAAGTTTTTGTTTATTATTTTGATTTCTGACAAGGTCTAGCTGATCAACTAGCTAGCTGAACCAAAGTGTTTTTGAGCCACTTATGGCCTCCTGGGTCTAGTTCTGGCTTTCAAATATAATATGCCATATTTTACATCTGAGGAGGCATTTTGTTCCCGTAATGTACAGTAAACTATAAATATGGGAACGTCGAATGTGTTTGACCAACCCGAATCCAGTGATAAATCTAATTCTCAAATACACGGAGAGGACCAAATGAATAATCTGATGAATAAAATTGGTGTGTAATTGTATTTTATGCATAATCAGTCATTTAAAGAAGAGTGTTTCTCTGTTTATTTCACGGCGTCTCACGAAATCGATCATTCCGACAACCTTTTCTATGTACATGTATATATAGTGGTCAGAATAATTGTGTATATACGTGTATAGAATAAATACAATGATTCTATATCAGTAAATGCATTTTGTAATAATTCAATCTTAACAAGAAGCCAATAACTGATTTGGCATATATTTTGAAAACTCGAGCTTATCTGCAAGTTTAAATCTTAGTACTTATAAGTTTCATTAAGTATAGATTGTTTGATTGGTGAAAGTTAGACTCGGTTCCCCCGTGAGGCTTGAAAGGAGTCACATTTCTCACATTGAGGGAGAGTGTAAATTTCTTATGGTAAACGCATCTAGATCTCAGTGAACAAAAATACACACACCGTCCAAATTGTATTGCCCGATTAGTGATGGATATGTATAACATCGCTAAATCACATCATTTAAGAAAAATATTCAAGCAAACTTTAAAAACTTACATCATCTGACAAATCGCTGTCCGCCATGTTGCATCTCCTGGCTTAAAATGAGCGGCAATGCATCATCACAAATTACAAGTCACAACTTAGAAGTCACAAGTCATAACTCCCAAGTCAATAGTCGAAAGTCATTAAGTCAGAAGTCAAAAGGGCCCTCCAGTGCTTCCATAATAATGTGCATTTTATATAAATACAAATCTCTGCAAATATTGAACACCATATATTTATTCTGATGGTTAATTATTTTAAAACTGATCATGAATTTTGTATGCTGATGAATTGTCTTGGTAAGTTTAGTATTAAACGTCCGCTTATTTTGTCATCCATGCAACGCCCTTCCGATTTTTCAGCGGCGCCAATGCAACTCTGTCCCCTTTAGATCATTCTTTTCTGCTTTCGTATATTGTTGCAGGCAATCCTAGATAATTTAATCGTATTTCAAGTCATATCCAGTATACGAAAAGATTATAAGGAAACATAGAGAAGGAACAAAATATCTTAACAGCCTACTTAGGGAGAACTTTGAAGAATTCACCTGTTTTTTTTAAATTGCTGCATTAATACTAGGGAAATCCCTGTATGGCTCACACTTATTAAATAGTTTCTGTTTGAAAGTGACACACCGGAGACTACTTAACCTAATGATATAAAACATAACTTAACATCTTAGAGCAGCTGGTATTATCGCACTGAATTAGGAAGTAAATTAGCAATCATCTTTACTAGGTGATTTTATGCTATGTTTAGTTAAAATATTCAACTTGCAGTTTCATTTTTTATATACATTTTACTGCGTTGTGTAGGTCAAAATATGTTAAGGGTGCTACATTTAAACAATTGACTTCCATTTGAGATGTGTATAAAAATTAAGGAAAATTATTTTAAAACAGAACAACAACAAAAGAGAGAGAGAAGAAAAAATACCCAGAAAAAAATCCGCTGGTTTTATGTAAATTCTTTGGCTAAGAATGTAATTCTTTAAATGTAGTTTATAATTTGCGCCAGTTTGATAATTGCGAGGCATGATAAAATTAACCATATATCTATTTGTTATATCATTTTGAACCTTTTATATATCAGGCAATACTTCAACCCATCTATCTTACTATATTCAAAGATTTCAGGAATATGCTTACCTTTGGAATAAATCACAAAGTTTTATATTTTTATCAGTTCACGAAATGTTTGTTATAAAAGATGTTACCAACACAGACCTTGTTGAAATAGTTATGCAATAAATTTGCCTATCAGATCTTAACAGATTGAAGGAACTATTAAAATAATATCAAAATAATTTACCATAGAAAGTTTTTTTTATGTCAGGACAGAAACATTTACTACATATATCAATATTGTTCTCACGTTGAGAGGAGAATTTGACATTTCTTAATCAGATACATGTGTCTAAATGACATACACTGGTCGAAAAATAATTCTATGGCAGTATTTTTATTATGATGCATTTGTACATGACATGAATTTGCGCATTTGGATAGACACATAACAAAAACAAAAACAAGATCACAAGAATGCAATGGACATAATTATATTAACCTAAAAGAAAACCAGTAAAACTGGAAATTGTCTTATGACTTTTATAGTATCGATGCAACCAAAGTTTTTTAGAGCAAATTTTCATAATCTAAAAACCTGTGCGCTTGGCCGCCTTGAATCGAAAGTGTGTAGCCGTTGCCAATAATGTACAAGTCTGACCTGGCTCTATACTGTCAATTACTTGTTTTTTTATATTGGAATCCTTAATCTTTTCAAATGGACTGTTCTTAATTGAAAGCGGGCGGGACAACACTAATGTCGTAAATTCAGCAGGTTGGGGTTAAACATTATAAAAAAATAATTATGCATGTGCTCGGAAACACTGGACTATGACCTGGACTTTGTACAAACTGTATTTTTCATGTTCATTTATTTATTCTCTTTTATGTGGTAACTGGAAGAAAGAGGGTCTATATATGTATAAAATATATGCAGCACTTTATCAGACTTTAATCAGACTTTATAAAAAAAAAAAAAAAAAAAAAAAAAAAAAAAAAAAAAAAAAAAAGAAGAAAGAAAAAACGATATATAGTACACATTTTTATTAAAATAAATTATTCACAAATTTAACATAATAATATATTAAAGCACTTAAACTTTGAATAATGTTACACACATTTGTACAGTAATGTTAGAAATATATGACACAAACTTAACTGTAGACAAGTACAATAAATAAACCTTGAGCAAATGTGAATATTTCTTGCCAATTATTAAGACTGTTAAATATGATTGTAAAAGTTAACAACTGTTAAGCTACAACATGTATATTTATCATATAAGATGTATATTTATCACAAGGGAAGTAAACAAATGACACTCGTTGTCATTTTATTTCATTTAATCATAAATTCTTGCTTAAACTAAGATATTGTTTACTTTAAAGTTTTTCATTCTATCTCATAATCTTTTCTAATACCATTTTACTTCTTGTCGTTTCTTTATCATTATGTATGCAATTTTTGTCATTTTTCTATGTCACCTTTTTCCCTTTCTTCGAACGACCAACTTTTCGTATGAAAGTTTATTCTTGAGTGCATTTAACTAGGTTTAATATCATCTTCTCGTGGTATCATTTTCATGGGAATATTGATTGTATCGCCGTAGTTTAACTTGGCTTAATGTCATCTTTCCACCCGGTTGCATTTGGTCCAAATTTGTAAACAAGCCGCTTGCCAATTACAGGTTGAAATATTTTTTTCTTGTAGTAATATCTGGAATAGAATCGAGATCAACATTTAAATTGTGTAACTTTATCTTATTGAGAATCTATGGTCGAAGTCAATGGTGAAGGAAATGCCAACTGTACAATTACATGCAGACAAGATATGGTTATAAAGCCCAGTTGGGCACCGTACAAAACAGTGTAACAAAAGAATACGGGAAGGGACGAAGCAAAAATGAGCACAGGGAGAAACATGTGTTTTCATAATTTTTTTTCTATTATAATTCTCTTTAATCTTGCAAAGTTAACGAAAAGTCGATCATCTAGTTAAATTTTCCTTTTTACCCTTTTTAAAAATACAGAACTCACAGGAACGTTTTAATGCAACATTTTCGTAGTAAATGCCACAAAATATGATAATATGATTAAATGGATATTCTATTGTATTTTTTATATAAATTGTTTTTAGGGAAGTGATTGTTGTTGTTGATATGATAAAATATTGTTATTTATCTGATCATAGTTCTCAATGAAACATTTGATTGTTCTTAGCTTTAAGCAAACTTCTATCAATAAAATTTAACTACACGGAATGCTTTCCTGATTATTATGTCTTGTTCATTTACATTAAAATTTTGCTTGTTTCTCATTATATTCATGTTTCATATTTAGCTTATAAAATGCATGTTACTCGGCCTTGACCTTTAGATACATAATGCTTGTTTTGGTGTATGATTTATTATTACCCGGAAAATTGTATTATTTACTCTTTATTCACTTGCACAAAAGCTATGTCTGATCAAAGAAAGATTATTTAAAAAGTAAAGCTTGAAGGATAAGATATTTAAAAAAGCTATTTTGTAGTCTGAATTCTTCATATTGTATTTAGGTAGTAAGGTAATACAAAATAATTATTCTTCTAAAACTATCTTCTAACATCCAAGAATATGTTAAATATGTTCTGCAATTATTTATGCGCATTAAAAGTAATCTTTAAAATATATGCATTCATTTCTTATTGATAAAAATGGCTTAGACTTTATCGAAAATAAATTTCTAATTACTTCCCTTTATTTACATGAAATGTAAATTCGATATATTCATTTACAAATAATGCTTTTTTTGAAATTACAATATTGACAAATCTTCATTTGGGCATCATATTTATGATATAAAAACATATTTTTTTAGAGTTACAGGATCTTAAAAGTTTGTAAGGTCATGCTTCATTAAGTCGTCGACCTTTGTTATAAATGTTGACATAAAATTTACATATAACTACTGTAGCCTAATGTGACGTTAGTATGTAGTAACAATTAAACCATGCACGTTTATCTAATGTTACTATACAATTTATTATTATGTAAACAGAATTGTTAAGACCAGCATATCATTACGAGATCGGGTATCCACCTGATGTATGTTCTCCTATTACAAATTCGCTGAATTTTCAGGTTCAAGAATTTGTCGGTTATTCGCAAATCTCTTACGCACTTTTAACTTTGCTATATTTATACGATTGTATTCCATGAATTTGGAAAAACATTAACTGTGCAAAAAATGACTGAAGGTTTAAGCGTATCTTGTAGAAAACTGTAATTTAGCGAGAAAACTTGATGGTAAATTTTAACATATCACTTATAGCCTGTTTTATTACATTTCCAAGCGATATTGATAGATCTATGAAAAAGGTACATTAAGAGCCCGATGAGTACATGTTTGGTATTTCGCCGATAAGGGTTGGGGCAAAATTAGTTTTTACGTTATAATCTAAGTAAAAATAATATTCTTTATGACATGTCGATATAACAGAAAAAAATATGGTATAAATGCATAAGTAGTCATATTTTTTCACGTGATAAAGTGGACAAAACTATATACAATAACACAGGTTCAATCAACTTTCAGGTACCCAATTAACTTTTTTTCGTCAAAAACCAGTTCCGAAATATCGAAATGTCATAAAGAATAGTATTGAAGAGAAAAAAAAAACTTCTGATATAAAACTGAAACATTAATGCATCAAGTAGTCTTATATTTTCACTAGATACCAAGATAAAGAGGACAAAATACATACAATAACACAGGTAGTTATCAACTTTCAGGTGCCCAATTAACATTTCCATATAAAACAGATTAATTTTCACAATTTTAAAGAATATATAAATACGTATTATATACATCTTTTGTTATTCACATAGTTTACAGTTCATATTTAATCGAATGATATACTTAAGTACTTTACTACTGTTATTAGTACAATTACATGTACAATATTGCTATATACCTCATAGCCCGGCTGAGCTTCTCATAACTCATGTCCGAATTTCCCTTCTTCCAGCCCCAATCGAATGCAATTTTCTTGTTTTGGACAAGTTTGAAAGTCCCTTCTTTACGATCTTCCCATTTTATAAGTGATGGATTGGTCCTTGGATCTAGAAGGAGGTTCCTGATGTATTCCCAGAGACGACACCCCCTCTTCACTGAAAATATCACAAAAAGAGAAAGAATGATAGATAAATGAATTAAATAATTAACTTCTAATATAATTGTCTCGCATTTTTTAGTAAGTTGCACGGGTATAAGTCAAAATGCTGAGCCGGATTTCCCTATTTATATTGTTTATCATAGCTGTGTGCTTTTTTTTATGATAATAAAGTAATCAGTATGATAACAATGCCAAATATGACATCAATGTATTCCCATTGCAAACTTTTGTCGGTCCATGTGTATAATTTATTGGTCAACATTATTGTTTTTTTGTAATATTACAATTCTTTATCAAAAAATGATAAGAAACAAGTCAGTTAATAAGCACATCGATCCATCCAAAAGTTTTTCAAATTAAAACATCTACAGTTGGACATTATATCATATGCCCTCAGTCATGGTGAATATTGCCCATTATTAAAAAATCGAATTATACTTTGATACATTCTTTATTTGTTTATGCAGTATTCTTTATTTTGTAATCTCAAGACAAAATTTAGAAAACAATATATACGCACATACAAACGAATGTGGTTTCTGTGAAACACAGGTTTTTCTTATAATCCCCAACTATTATTCTCTGAATTATATTTCATTTCTATGAGTTATTTAAAGAAAATTCCCAAAATGTATAAGCATGTGCTATCATATTAATTTACACGAATTCAAGTCGTTGTAAGAAAACCATTTCTTTCCCAAATTTCTTAAAATAGAATGACAACTCTTTGTAACGCTTTGTAATTGAGCGCACCTATGTTAGTTCTAAATTTAGTCATGTAACACCGTCGATCAATTGTTGCAACGTTATAGAAGATTGATATCATCGGTACTTGTGGGTTAATGTTGTGTCAAAAGAATAACTAATGCAGTCAAAACCGATCGCTATAAAAAGTGCATAGTCATGAGATTTTTGAGAGGTTTCAAGTTTCTTGTTTATTGGCGTATTGCATACAAAATACCTTCGACATATTACAAATACGTACAAAAAAAACTACATTTTAGCTGCCGTTTTCAACAATAACTTTTATTTTTTTTAAACATATTTATTTAAGCTCGATTGCGAAACAAGTTCTTCCAACTTATATTAATCACTTTCGAGTCCGCTTCCTGGAACCAACAAGTACTGGTGTCATAATTATGGAGAAACATGTTCGTGACCCGAGTACGGCTCGAACCCATGATCTCTGGGTTAAGAGGCAGACACCTTAACCACAAGGCCACCGCTCCCCTTAGCTTCGCTGAACTTTTATTTGAATATCGAACATTTACATAGAGCCTTTGATCACATTAAAAATAGTTGTATGTCAGCTTTCAGAAAATAGTATATAAAAAAACACAGTCTATAAAGAACGTTCAAAACAGAAAAATGGAAAATGTTGCAGTCTCGGTTAAATCGAGTCTGTATAAGGAAGAAAGTGGTAAATATTTAAGCTTCTGCAAACGTCTTTTAACACCGACTTAAGCAGAATTCAATATTTAGACATAAAATTGCGAAATTGTGAATAAAAAACATCCATATTTGTTCCTACGGCAGCGGTCACGGAATCTTCAATGTGACACTTCCGTGTCATTCCACCAAAAGCGGCGTATAATCCAAATAGAAGAGATTCCCAAAAACGAACGCCTCAAAACGACAAAAATTGAAAATTTTGCAGACTCGGTTTGATTTCAGCCTGCTCATGGACAATCATGGAAAATGTAAGCTACCTTAAATGCTCCTAGGGACGGCTTTAAACATGTATTAGAACTTACGAAAATATATGTTTTTCAGGACATGTAGTTAAAAAGTCCTTTAAAGATAAAGTTGTAAATTCTTATGGTATTACAAAGCTAAACTCTTAAGACAGTTCTTTTTTCAATCTACTAAGAGTAAATGTCATATGGTGACTTTTCAGCTTGACCAGAAAGCCCTTCCGTGTATTATTTAAGTCAACTGAGCGGGCAGCTGAGAAGAATTGGTTTCTTTCTCAAATGAAGGGATCCAACGTCCAAAGCGGCACATGTATTCATCACAATAGCGTTGATGATAAGCTGAGTCGAAGACAAAGACTTACAAGACCAGAAAAAATATTTTATGTTTGAAATGATGTTTTATTTAAGCACAACGTGGAAAAAATGCAATATTTCACTAAAACATTCAATTATTTCATCTGCTAATTGATAAAATGAAATACTTACATTTCTTTGCTTTAAACCCCACATTTTCAAGGGAATGGGGTTCATTGTGAGACACAAGTGCAGGTGATCCTTTAACATCAAATTTACTCTTGTTTTGTACTGAAATCAAAATAACAAACCATATTTAATTGACTCATCACAAAAAAAATCAATTTATATTGGCATTTCTGATACAAATGTTCCCAAATTTCAGTAAAGTCAAAGCCGTGTTCTTCTTGTATTTTAACTATTTCCGTACTAATAAATTTATTTCTGATACATATCGTAGTTATTCTGATCATCCTATAACAGAGAAAGCATTATCTCTAAAATTTTGAATACAGTAAAGAATTGTTTTAAAGTCATAATTTTGAATTCTCTTTGTCCATCTAATAGTTTTAACTTTTATGATTTTTGATGAAGTTTTTTTCATTATGATCAGACAACTTCAATCAATACGAGACCGATCTTCCAGTTATAAAAATATTTACGGACCTTTTATATGATCCGTTAATGTGTTTCATATAACCATTAGCTTCTTCCTATACTGTTTACTGACGAATTTCAAAGTAATCATCTTAATATCCTTACAAGTGATTATGTCAGTTCCAAAGTTGGACATAACATACATTCAACATGCAAAGGGATAAACATTTAATTGAAATTTCAATAAAACTTTTCCTGGTCAAGAAAACTGTTGAATCATAGGATTCACTTTAGAAACCGCAATTTTATATTTATATATCAATTATAATTTTATACACAATTACGATACGATACCGCAATCATATATTTATGTATCAATTACAGTTAATACACATTTACGATATACGATTAATTTCAAAGATAATTTATCTGAGAAAAAAATAAAAACATAAAAAATTAACTTTAAAGCAACATTAACAAATACATGTTCAGTTTAAATGTCCAGTTGATGTTGACAATAAGTCAAGATTGCATCAATTCGCTGTTCTAAATAGCAAAATATAGATATTTCAAATGAATTAAATTTTTCATACAAATCATTTTCCATCAAATAAACCATGCATTTCTTTACCTTTGTTTTGTGGTGCTTCGCTTGAGGCGTAACTTTGCATTTGAGTTTTAAATTTTCCGTCTTCCAATCTTGAAATTGGCTCAGGCATATTCTTAAAAGTTTGGCTACTGTTATTTATCATATTTGCTTGAGTCAAAGTATGATTGTATTGTCCCGGAAACAAAGTACCTGTTGGCGGGTTAGTGTCATCACGAGAGGCAAAATAAAACCCTGTGTTTTCTTTCCTATACACATGACTATTTTCTGAAGTATGGTAAGTGTCATACAAATAATCGTAATCGGCTGTACTATTTGAATTTGGAAAAAAATACTGCGAGGATTGTTCTGCCACCTGTGTGTTTTCACAGCAAGAGCTCTGTCCATTTGCATTTCTGATTGTAAAGTTATATGACTGGTCAGTCAAGAGTGGACATGAATAATTCACCCTTTTCATACTTGTATTCTTAAGACAAGGATCCGTTACCGATCTGCGAATTTCTTCAAATGGTTTGTTAGATTTTGTATCGTTCGTAGCTGGGTCGTCCGTTTCCATTTTACACTTGGTGAAAGCAAATGGTTGCGACTCGTTCATTGATTCGATACTGTTTACAGTTGCCCAGTTATTACCTTGTTGAGAATTGGTATCTCCAAAATGATTTCTTTCTATAATATTAAAAAAGCGACATTCAACACACTTTACTTACAGTATCAGTTTAAGTTATTTCTTTAAGCTATAACATAACACATTCGAAAGGAGTGAGTTTTTATATGTTTATTTTATTCTCCGATGAAGAATAAAAATCCCTAAATAATCATTGTATATTTATTTTACGTTGGTCATCTAATAAAGGATATCAAGATTTAAAAACAGCACTTTTGTGTTGTTTATACCGTGCTTATTTCGTCAACTGCACATAATAATTTGAATAAATATAAGAAATTGAATAGCCTGAAATTATGCATTTAAAACAGAAACTGAAGAAAAAGATTTTCTATACCTGTTAACATTTTGTCACCAGTTTCATAACCTGATGTACACTTTGTTTCAAATTCTGGTTGATCAGCCTCTTCGCTGAACCCCATTCCTGATGAGAGTTTGCATTTTATGTCTATAGGGTATAAGCATTGCCAGAGTTTGACGATAGTTTCACCAGTATTTTCATCTTCAAACATTTCCACGTCGTCTGCAGGGCGTCTACTTACAGCTGAAATTTAACAAAAATGGAAAATCTAAACAACATAATAATAATCTAATGATTTTTTAGTTTTGGTGTCCTTATATCTACTTTACATTTTTAAGTATAATTATAGGAAGTTAGAATGTGTGGCAGCTAATTTTGAAGTCAAACATTGACTTTACTATTCAATTTTAGAAACATAAAGCTAACAAATGTAAAGATGACTTTATTTAATATTTTTATTGCTGTTTTGTTTTGTTTTTTTTTTCAATAAAAAATACAAAGAAAGAAAACAAACACATAAATAATATGAATGAAGACCAAGACATCAAAACCATATTTAGTCATGTTATGAATTCTTTCAATTTTCTAGCACAAAACGTTTTTAAGCAAATTTTTTTTTTCTTAAAATTTTCAAATCGAATCAATCTTTGTTTCATAAAATTAAAAATATTTATCCATGAATAAGTTGTTCATGTTCACCTAAAGGTTACAAAATGCATTTCGGTGTACAGGCAGTCTACTAAGATAAAATATAATTACTATCACCACATTAAATGTTGGTAATAAAAATATTCAAACATACTGGTTATTTTGAAACAATTTTACTTTTTTTCAGGTGCAATTATATATTTTCTATACATTCTATATTTTAAACCTCCTTTGCGAAATGTTTTTTTTTTTTGGTATTGCTAAGCATTTTATTTAAAAAGATAGGGACATCATGTATCTTTTAAAAAAATGCAATAAAATTTCCGAACCTTGTGTATAATTCCCATCCATACACATGAGCCTTTTTTCTTTTAAATTGTTTTTTACATCATTATTGTCATCTAGCTTTTGTGTTGGTAATTGATTTATCGTTTCGTTTGCAAAATGATCGACAACGTCCTTTTCTGCTGCACACAGGAACTGCCAATCTTCAACTGTCTCGGAACCTGAACAATAGTACTGCATCGAGTCCAAACAACGATCTTTATGCTGTCCGCTTATTAAGAAAAATGTCCACGGTGGCAAATCTTCTTTTATCAAAGAAGAAGAAGATTTTAAATGTATTTTTTCGTCGATCTGAAATAGGTTTACAAACATTTTTTAAATATCTCTCGTATGCAATCATAGTTAAAATATCATTGAACAAAAAAAAAACGGTATTATTATACATGTATTTAAAAAAATGACTGTTGTGTCAATTCAAATACAAATAGGTAATGAAAATCAAAATTAAATAATATTATATTATAATATTAAATCTTATAAAATAAAATAAACAATTGCATTTTAAGCAAGAAAATTAACATAAATATTAAAAAAGAGAAAGAAAACAACAAAACATTTTTATTTTTAACAAACAATTTTTATGCATTTTGTATAATTAGCAATTTACTTCAATTCAAAATCATTAAATTATGCACGTTTATAAATGCAAAGGACTTATTCACTGAAAAAGTAAATTGTTACAACGAGAACAAACTCTGTACCATGATAACACATGTTTATCATTCCGCAGCAGCTATAATCATAGCGCCGTTGTTTGCTTAAATGCAACTTGTTTTAAAATAACAATTTTGGTCAGGTGTTAATGTTATTCACACCATAATTCTACAATTTCTACAATTTGTTTATAAAAATTTGTGAAGAAGCTTTGTTGTTGTTTTGTTTTTCTTTTTTCTTTCTTTTTTTTTAAAGAATGTGATAAATAAAAATTAATTATTTATTGTTTCGTTATATTTATCATCAGTCAGAAAGTTTTGTGAAAAATAAATCCTTAAAATAATAGCAAAATATATTACACGTGAAGATGATGTCGAAATTAACAAAATAAAATAATATCAAGAATGACACATTTGAAATAAAATTTCAAAGTAATGATACTAAAACAATAACAAACTATTAAAAACATGTAAAATATAATAATAATATATATAAATTTTAAAAATGCAAAGTTAAAAATTAATTATCTATCTTTTACAAAAATCCATCTTACCTCTAGGTTAACCAGCATATTTGTGCGTCGGAACACAGCTGTTGGTTCTCCGTAAAATACTTCTTTTTGCATACTAAGAAAATCAGCGAACAAAAAACCTCTCGATAGTAAATTTGTTCGCTCGGGCTTGAAGTTTGTACCCGAAGTAACCGTAGTATATTTAAACAAAGAATGGACAACTCGAGCGTATCTCAAGGTCACAGAAGACCAATCAAAGCAAACAGGAAGTAAAATAGAGGGGTTTTATAATAAATTTTATCTGTAGTAAGTACGCCTACTGAATTTTACAGTAGGCATGGGGCTTACAGATTAAGATACAAAGTGCGAATTGAATTTGTTAATAATGCAAAATGTAAAATATAAAACAATCCATTGTACTAATTCGAAATTCGATTAGTAAATCTGTGATGTTTAGGTACAACCAGAATATCAGATTGAACTTGACGATGCTGGAATGAAGCGTTTTTGATATGGCATGGGGGTACCAGATGAGTCATTGAAAGTACAACAACGTCATTTTAGCGCATTTTTAAAAGACCTTGTGCCCTAAGGATAGTTATTCGCCCGTTATTGAATGAATTTTGAAAAATTTTACCTATTGTAAAAATAGTTACGGATTTGAATGACTTAAATTTCATGAAAAAATTTTGTTTTTGAGGGTTAATATTCAACTATGATGGTTTGGTAGGATATGCAAAAAAATTTTGGATTTGTTGTGGGTTAGAGCGATATCCGTCCTCGGGACCCGCCCACATGGGTGGTAAGGGCAGGCTCTTTACCGCCAATGGAGGTACCGACTTATGGAGTATTCGATCCGAACCGCAACATATGACATCTTAATTATTCGTGCGGTGTAACTACACTATAAACTGTAACTCAATTGTCAGTTTCATATTTAAACATTTTGATGGACGTGATGTTACTTACAATCTATAATTAGGAACCTGTGTTATTTGTCCATATTTTAAAATGTGGAAGAATTAATATCAGAAAAAAAGAGTTAAACTTAGAGCACTTTAAAAACAACCAGTCATTTAAATCTAGATAGTCACCATGTTTATGAAATTTTCCCTTGCCATTCAAGGTTAATGCGGCTATGATTAGTTTGCTATGCTACATTTATACACATTTGTTCCACAAGCTTCTCTCAAGACATTTAAACTGGCCTTGGTTTGTTTGGTTATTGGCGGCTTTAATACCTAAGCACCTTTGGTTCACTCACATATGTACTGAAGTCACAAAAATTGAATGGGTTCTTTACAAGTTGCCAAATCCATTACTTAAACATATTCCGCATATGCGAAACCGGACACCTATAAATAACCATGAGTCCGTATTTCTTGAAATCTATACACTTGATTTAATATTGACTATGAAGAATGTAATGGAGAATGCAAGGTTCCAGTTCAAAGCGTACGTAATCTAAGAAGATACTGCATTAACAGAAACATAGATTTAGTGAGAAATGTATTTTTGCGTGCATTATATAATTACAATAATACTTGTAACTAATTTTATTATCTTAACTAGAAATGAATTTAAAGGAATATGAATGATGAATATGTATTGGTATGTAAGGTAAGTTATGTCATTATTGTACATATTATTATAAATCTATTGTTCCATTGCATGGACACCGTTCATGGATTTGTCATCTTTATTCAAGAAACGTAAAGGTTTAATGACCATAAAAAGAAATTTGTGTCTTAAATGAATAGACCTAAATGAACTGAATTTGTTATGAAAAATGAAAAGCAAGATCAACAAGAGATTGCACCACCAAAAGCACATAGCCACACAGGCCTATCGGTTTGACAGCTAATAAAGTAACAAAATAAAAGAAAGGTACAAAGGCGGAGCACGAACGGGGTGTACAATCAAGCCCGTGTATCTTAGAAGATAATTCTATACACGGTTATATTGCATAGCTAATTTGTAACGAATTCAAATTTTCAAGACAGCGAAAATATAGATAAAAATAATATACATGTAATCAATCAAAATAATAAAAATTCATCTCTCCAGTCATCCATTCATAAGTCATTAAACAAGATGAATGAAAGAATGAATGAATGAATGAATAATTGAATGAATGAATGAATGAATGAATGGATGACTGACTGACTGACTGGCTGACTGACTGACTGACTGACTGACTGACTGGCTGACTGACTGACTGACTGACTGACTGACTGGCTGACTGACTGACTGACTGACTGACTGACTGACTGACTGACTGACTGTCTGACTGACTGACTGACTGACTGAGTGACTGGCTGACTCAATGAATGAATTAATTAATTAATGAATACTTAATCAATTCAACAATGCAATAATTCTGATCAGGGGATTTACTTCGTCAGTAGAATATCGCGTTTTTTTTTTTAATACAGCTTGAGAAATTTTCCTCCTGACACGGATTGTTTAAAAATTAATGCGATAAGAAATCGTTTACCAGTTTATTTTTCGAACATATTCGGATGGCGATGAACAATAACTTTAAAATTAAGGTGATTTAGATATTCTCATATGTAAATATAAGTACAATATCAAGCATCAGTGTATCATAAATCGTGGAGTAAATACATGTAATCAACAAGGCAGTACGTTGAACATAAGTCAGTAAATCTTTAGTTCTACTCCTGTATTTTACACGTTTGCAGATATCATTAGTGTATGCTGCGTATCTTAAAAGGTTTTTACCCGCAACCAGTGACTAAAGTTAAAGAGACCCCATTGAAGTTTAAAAGCCTAAACACATAACATTTGAATTTCTTACATTAATAAGCTGGGACACTTTAAACAGAAATATATGCAAAGGTAGTTAAGAAATATACTTTGAAATAAATTGAAAATCGTTTTTTTATGCTTTTCTTAGCCCGATTTTAGTGAAAAGCGTTTCAACGCTCTTCATTTTCGGTCATTTTGTTACAAATTGACTGATTATTCTCGAAAAACAAAGTGCACGAATGATGTGAAATTTTGCACAAAGATTATTGGTCTAAACCTACATCAAATGGTACATTTATCTGGAAAAAATATTTTCTGTCCCATCATGTTAAAACACCTCAGTGGAGTCCCTTTAAGGGTTTTAATCTTCGAGACCAAAACATATATTCAAAAAAGATTTGAATACAAATACTGATTAAATATATTATAAAGCGCACTATCTGTCAAAAGTCTCATTTGACCTATTGATGGGAATGACCTTTATTGTTTAAGAGATTCTTGATATTTGATAAAAGGATTTGTCATGATTTCAGTTTAAAGCAGTTCTTTAAATGTTAAAGGGGTTTCAACGTCAATATACTACCCTTGTGCCACCAATAACATAAAGCCTAGTCTAACTGTACGAATGTACAGGCCGTCCTGGCTGTTTACTGTTTGCAAAGGCTAATCACTTCCAGTTCCAGGAATTAACGTTTAACGAATTGGTTAAAGACATGCGTACACGGTTTAAGTCAAATAGAATTTTAAAGCCGAAATTGATATTTTGTATCTTTCTTGTATTATTTTTGCAGACACTGCATTGAAAGACTGAATAGAGTAATGTGTTAGAGGATTGTGGTACATGTTAAATGGTCACCCGGTCCTGAAAGCAGCCAATGGTTCTTTTACAAAGGCGTATCACTTCCAGTTCCAGTTAAGGATTCGCTAAATAGATAAGGATATGCATACATGGTCTAGGTCATTTAAAAGCCAACATTGATATTTTATTTCTTTCTTGTATTATTTTTTCAGACCTTACACTGGAAAGGTGGGCAGAGTAATGTATGTGTGGAAGGCGGTCCAACCTAAAATGATCAGTCGGTCATAAAAAAGCAGCCACTGTTGGAAACAGAAGCAATTAGCCTTTATCACGAGTATAGACCCCAAAAGGACAGCCAGATCAGGAACTAAACGTAAAAGCAGGGCAAAAACATTCATCAGGTAAAAGGAGCTTCAATAAGGTACTAAAGCACAAAGACATGAAATTGTAATTTTTTACATAGTTAAAATTGTGCGCTTTAAAAAAGAAAATATAAAAAATGAACTAAAGAAATTTACTAAGAATTAAATAGATTTTTTACATTCCTGGGGCAATTTGCACATTTGAAATGAAAATTATGGAAAAATAGATTGAGCGAACGATATGAAATTTTCAACAAATTATAGGTTGGTCCAGTAATTGTTATAAGCCTACTCTAAAGGAATACAAATCGCGAAAAAAACCTCATTGGGGTCTTTTTAACTCTTAACCTTTTTCGTAAATCAAGTAAATCAAAACGCTGCAAGCTCTGTGGTATTTTTTTATCTTTGCATCTAAATCGTACTGTATATCTGTATGTATTTTCCTGTATAGTTTATTTTGATATACTATAATTCATCTTGTAGGATACCGAGTTGCAGCGACTGCATTTAGATTTTTTACTATAACAGCATACGGATTTTGCATGACTTTCTTGCATCATGAAATCATTTATGTTCCTTTTTTTTGACAGCCACACTTTCTCCTTGCGTATCGTGGCTACTTCCTTATCGCAGAAATTGTTTATCGATCATCAACTGCCCTAAATTCGTCCCTGTCCTAACGTTTTTTTTTTTTAGAAAGTCTAAGTAAACAAATGTTTAGGGGGCGTTTTATTCCGCATCACAATAACCCGAAGCTTTACGGAAATAGCCGAGCAATTTTCATTGATTTAAATGATATTCATCCGCGTAATTTGTGTTGTGCATTTATTGACAATTCTATAAGTCAAGCTACCTTTTTGAACTTTGATGCGTTGTAATTTTGTTGGATACTTGTAAACAAAATAAAAATATTTCTTATTTTACATCGTTAGTTTTAGCTGTTTGGAATTATTTGTTGTTAGGTTTGTCGGAAGCGTCTGTACCTGAGATTGCAATGTCAGCATTGTATTTCTGATCTGCGATCAGCAAAATACAAAAAAATAGTGTTCTGATATGAGTAGGTACACGGACTAAATTGATTACATCAGCCATTTAACTAATGTTTTTGTATGAGTTCAACAACCTAATTTAAAAATATATAGTATAATCTATGTGTCAAGATGTGTTCAAGGCCCAAAGAGTAACATTAATTAGTAAGAGGCAAGTCAAGTGCCCTCTTTTACATTTTCAATAGATCACCAATCAATAAAAACAAAGTAGCATAATACTT